GCAATCATGAGTTACACATTTACAAACCCATGCTGAGAAGCCGAGGACCACTGTATATTTGTTTCATTCTTGATGGGAATCGCCTTCATCATCAAAGAAAAGTGACGCACAACTCACGTGGGTCTTTCCCGAGGAGCTAGCCAACTTTGTATTTCGTGACCTGGACTGGGTAATCGAAGAATGGCCTGAATGCGGGCAAGTTACTGCCGATCAGCTAGTTTTGATCAAACGTTTTGGCACAGCCGGAAAGCCGGGATTTGTGGTGGTGCTTCCGTCAAGGATGAATCATCTGCACAGCCTTTCTGCGTCATTTGACTTCACTTTCAGCATGAAATATGGAATCGAAAAGAGCTAGTTGGTTTCATGGTTTCATTCATACTACTTGTGGTCCGGAAGATCCCAGGGGTTAATTCACAGGTCTTGTTTCCGGTATATTGATCCGATCACAAATGGGGTAGCACTGGTGAGTATGACTGACGATGCGCTACGAAAAGAAGTAACTTTGTGATCACTGCAGGCTTGCAGCATTTCAACAAATTGCCTAATGTTAAGTAGCTAGAGCAGAAACCTCGCCGCTGTTCGAATTACACCACCTCGCGTATCGGTATTTGCAACAACTTGACAGTCTTCAAAATTTCTTCGATAAAGCATCCCGGATTAAAAGGTGGATATATTTCCTCCATTTCTACAAGTTTCATCCCTTTGGAAATTTCAGTGTCATGAAACTAGGTTAGAACTATTTCGGTCTTACACTCACTAGATTCGCTTTTTCTCTCACCCACTCAAATCTAACGGTCACACCATCTCCTTTCTTCAAGGTTGCCGTCTCCGTCTACGGTGTATGCTGTGATTTGTTTCTCCTCGGACAATTTCTGTTCTACAAGATGCATAATCGTTGCATTTTACAGCGTACGTTCCACGCTTTTTGCTATGGTTTGTCCAGCTCAACTTGTCATTACTATGCGCTTCTTATTATTTAGAGAAAATCGATTTCTTCTCTATATTTTGCGTTCTAAAGCGTTGTTATGATGACACTGTGATATCCATTTGTTAAATGTTGGCCGTTTGTTGTTGGGACCTCCCTTTTGATGGTTTGACTGACTGGATTGTGAAGACAGCGCAACCGGTTATAATCAATAATATTGTAATTTTTTGGATGCCGGCGCTCTACTATTCTGCGTCGGCTGTGGTAATTGCCGGGTGCGCAAACCCGGATTGCGAAAGTTTTCTGTCAAGGCTCAAAAGCCTCATCACAAGACAGTCAATACGATTCCAAAGGAGTACTTGCCAGCATACAAGTCCACAGTAGCAGATACCATCGAATCCGGGAAAATCGTTCGTTTATTAGGGATGTTCATTCTTTGAGTTGTGGCGGCAGTTGCTCTGTAGTTTGAGACAACTAAAATCACAAGGTACCTTTTTCTCCATAGAAAATTCACTATTCGATGAGTTTCTGTTAGGAAGGATCCTGTCGCTGTACTTTTTGTAGTCGCTGTGCTGGACTTGTAGGCATGTATCAGGAGTCAATAAAGGTTATATCCGAGACGGCCGAAGTGGTTAGAGAGCGAATTTACTGACCGGAAGGTCCGTGGTTCGAATACGACCTATGCCTCTCGACTTCCCCTGTCTAGGCTTGGGCAACCTGACAGTATCCCAGCCATCGTGCAACCATGGGGTGACATGGCAGTTAGGCACCGAAAGGGTGCTACAGCTGGACGTTTTGATTTGATATCCAGAGTGAACGCCAGACTTTCGTTCAGAGGCTGTAGTTCTTCAGAACCCTGATGTTCATAGCGCTGAAAGCGTCGAGAGTAAGAAGAAAACCAGAGTCCCATCTCACCCTTCATTATGCGTTTTAAGCATCGCCGAAAATGTTGCATGTCGTCACCATCATCATTGTCATCTGTAAGAACCGCGTACTTGTCGTACAGTGGTTGTAGCTGCCAAAGTTTCGCTCACCGGTGATTTGGGGAGGTGGGGGAGGTAACTCCGCATTGGAGGCGGGACTGTCACGTGGAGGAATTGGGAAGGGAGCTATGCATTGAAACCAACACCTTGGATGCATGAGCGCTATTGAGGGCGCATCTGGGCCATGCCTGACAATGTCTCTAATCATTGATGTGGACCATCTCGGGGTCACCATCCAGGAAGACGGCAATGACAAGCGCAGCTGAGTTTGCTGGCAATCGCTTTTACACTTCGCTGCCAAGTCATTGTTTGACCGCCTCTGACTAATTTCCACGTGTGATTAATTCTTCTGTCGAGGGTGAGTTATTTCTCCCGAATACCATTCGACGTACTTCAGCATTGCTGATCCGGTGTTTCTACCAGATTCGGGCAACGCTCCGAAAACACCGATGGTCAAACATTTAAAGTCTTTTGACGTCCTCGGCGGGCAGCGGCCAGGTTTCCAATCGAAATAGTAGTATGGAGGGCACCGCAACATTGTAAACTCGATCCTTGACGGCAAATCTGATGTTGTGCCTTCGCCACAGTTTATGCAGGTTCACAAAAGCTGCTCTGGTCTTTCTAATCCGGATGGAAATATCTTTCGCGAGGCCACCGGGACTGTCCAGGTAACCAAATTTGCCTACTACTCCAATCGGTTCATCCTCAAACATGAGACTAGGGTTCGAGCCCACTCAGTCTTGCAGTCGCGCTTTACACGTTGCAGGCGTGAAGCACATGCCCAACCGTGAGGCGGAATCATTTAGATTATTTAATCTTGTTTGCATTACCATGGGGTCAGATCTAAGAAGAGCTATGTCGTCTGCATACTCGATATCTGTGAGCGGACGCCCCGGGAGCGTTTCGACCCCACGTGCATGTAATTTAAACACAAGCATCGGAAGGTTTGCAATGTTTGTCAGAATTTGTAAGTTTAGGTGATAGCAGCGTACCACTTGTGAGTCATCAGTTGTTTACAACAACTACAGATCATGGATCCTAGATGCGTGAAGTATCTGACGAATGGATGGAGACTTGTCAACTCCAAAACAGTTTCTTCCTTGGTTAATTTACACCACAAGATCTTTTTCTTTAGCACAACCGGCGAATTTTTTAGAGAAATTGGACCGGTTCAGTAGCTTCATTTCTGCTACTCTGCATTAAACGAGTATGACGTCGTTCGTGAATCGGTGCACAAACAAGCCTATACGTAAGCGCATTGTAAGCGCCGTCATTATCCTTGCCCTTCAGACATCGGATTCATCGTTACCTAAGGAAGTCACACCTGACATATTAAACATTCGAACCAGTTCAGTACTCTCAGCACGGACGCTTGACACCACAATCTTGAATATGTTTCCCTAAACTTCGTTATCGTTCCCCATAGGGCTTGTCAGT